GGGGAGGTATTACAGTCGAAATTATCCAAGACTATCAAGACTTTGTGCTGTTGAGGCTAGAGAGGTGAGCAGAGTAAGCCTGATTCCCCGTTTGGACTTCTCTGTTGACATCCACCCCTTGGCGCTCATATGGCCTAGTCACCTTATGCAGTTGCGAGCGCCGTAAAACCTCTATTTACAACGAACAAACTAAGAAGACTATCACCTGTATTTCAGGGAGAAAACTGGTTGTCTTAGACAGGTGGGTGTCTTGGACAGTGTCATTATATTTATTTTTTTAAACACAAGGGGGCAAGTGGTTGTTTGAACAGGTGATTGTCCTGGACAGGTGATTGTCTTGGACAGGTGATTGTCTTCAGGTGGTGGCTAGAGCATGTTCGACTGTAATATGCTCCTGGTGGGGGAATTCCCGGAGGCTTGTGGGGATTCCCTGAAGTCTTGGGACTTTCCCCTACAAGTTTCAGGGAATCCCCACTAGCCTCCAGGAATTCCCGTAAAACTTCCCTGAAACTTGTAGGGGGAAGTCCCAAGACTTGATGGGATTTCCCGAGTGTGAGCAGGTCTCTGTTGTGTTTGTTGTGGTGATGAAACATTCCAGTGTTTGGTGTTGTGCTGGCCGTGTTTGGCTGATGTTGTGATGGCCGTGTTTGGCTGATGTTGTACAGATGATGTTGTAGTGTGGCTTATCTCTCTCCTTGTTTGTCGTTGATGGAGATACCGTAGCAGCTGCTGTTTTTTGTTTTGAGTTGCTCCTCTATGTAAATGTAGATTTTTTGCGTTTGCATGTATTTGTGAGCGTGTTTGTGTGTGTGTTTTTTGTGCGTGTTTGTGTGCATGCACACGCTACTGTGACAGCCCGCTCACTACTCGTGCTTCTTTTTCTAACAACATTCCATCACAGCTCACCACCGACTGCCCATGGGTGGTTGGCGGGTGCTCTGGTGTGGTTTGCTCCTTTTTTCCGATCAAACATCTCTAATCTTTATCCCTCCTTATTTTTTGTGTTTGTTACTCTCTTGTAACACCTCTAATCTAATGTGGCCTGTGTTGCAAGTGCCGTAAAACTGATACTAAAACACACCCAAAAAAAGAACGTACATCCCACCAACAGCGATACAATATAAGAACACACAAGATTTGTCAGAAAGTTGCGTTCCCAACTGTGGCAGCCTCCATCCACCCACAACCCTCACCCTCCTCTGACAAGGCAGAACCCCTCCCACCTGTCCTCCTGTCTGTTGTGGACACAACACAGAGCTCATCTGTGACCCATCATGGATGGGGGGGTTGGGGGGTGTATATGTGTGGGTGTGTGTATGTATGTATTGGTACGTGTGGGTGTGCGGAAAGGGGGGGGGGGGTGTACTGGTATAAATGTTATCACTAAGCCGTGCTAGAGGCTCGGATGCATCGTGGATGGTTGAAGGGTGCCACTGGTAGGTCCTTTTTTTCCCATCAATTGACTCTGTCTGCTTGCATTTTTCCCCCCATCACTCAATGATCAGTATCCTGCCTATGTGCTTCTGTAAGACTGAGATGACTGGTCTTTGTTTGTTTGGTCATGTCATAGAGAAGCACATCCACACGATAACTGTCATGTAGTGCTGAGAAATAGCCAGACACACAGACAGAAACAACAAACGGAAATAGGACATACCAGTGGCACCCTCCAACCAACCACACCATGACTGCAACATTAGGCCAGGAACAGAGCAGAGCAATTGTACCAATAGTGTCGAAAGAAAACCCAGTGAGGGAAAAAACTATATCAGAGCCTCATCCCCTAACCCCCAACCCCCCAAACCGCCACACACACACATACACACCCATCTCCACAAGACAGATGTTCTTGTTGTGGACAGCATGTGATGATACCATCCACCAGAAGTAGGTCACGAACTACCCACCAGAAGTAGGTCACTGACCCCCCACCTGCTATGTTCTCACGTTGAACAATCGGCCAGTGCTGCCATGTGTACCGTCCCGTCTACTGACTCAGGAATCGTTAACAAAGAGTTGTGGAGAACGGAGAAAAGATTGTGTTGTCGACAGAATGAGATAGCGGAACTAGCCATGTGATCTGTCCATCCCTACAACAACACCGTATGTTGATTCTCCTGGGATGTTGTAGCCCACTCAGCCGGGGTTGGCTCGGACAGGACGGGTGGAAGCCCGCCTCCTAAATTATCGACATTGTGTGTATGAGGGTGGAAAAACTCCTGAGCCTACATTTTTTTAAAAAATGTAATTTCTGTCGACTTGTCTGTCTGATCAAAGACCTGGAGCTGTTTGAAGGGAAAACGTTGAAACCTTGTGGAACGACCGAGCAGCGGTTGTGGTGGAGGAAAACCTCGGCCTGCTGGTTACACTCTTTACCATTACACACAAAAGAGGGAAGTTCGATCACCGTGTGAAGAAGTTATTTTATGGTGGGTCTCCATCCAACTGCTGGGTTGCTGTACCTCATCGAGCCTAGATCGGTTCTTCTGAGACATAGGCTGGGAGCCCTTATGAAGTTGTGCACACCGTGACACCTCTACTAAAACAAAAACAACATAGGCTGGGAGCAGCCCATAGCTTGATGGTCCATAGTTTATGGGGTAGTGAGTTTGATTCCTGGGTTGGGAGAATTTTTACTTATTATCTTGATCTCTTTGCCCAGACATTTTTATCCATCTCAGCCCAGTTGGGCCCAGACAGGCAAGGTAGAAGCCCACCTCCTAAATTATCCAAACTATATCAGTAGGGGCGTAGAAAAACACATTTCAATTTTATTATTGACACCGGGAGCATACAACATGTCCTGTGAGTCAGTGGAGCAAGCCTCCAGAGAGACGGAGAATTGTCTCTGCACAGTCCAGCTTAGGGACACACACACACTGGAGTCATATCTGACTACACACTGACTACACAGTGGTGGAGTGGGACACGTTCACCCACCGGAGGAATCTTTCCTGTGTCTGAAACACAAAGTGATGGCGGTTTCTTTTTTGAATAAGTAGAAGTTTTTACATCTATATTTTTTTTTAATGGCGTAAACCCCTGAGCTTGACTAGCGGTGTAGTTGACGACTGGTAGCAACATGGACGTTGACAACCTGACTGATGGTCTTGTTTCTGACAGGATTGCCAGACTGGTTGCTTTCGGGTTTGTTTTTTGTCGGGGGGTTTTTTTTGGTTGTGTTTTTTTCTTGGTGGGGTTTGGAGTGTGGGATGTGTCAATAGATTGTAATAATGTGTCAATAGATTGTAATAATGTGTCAATAGATTGTAATAATGTGTCAATAAAGTGGAGAAGTGAGACAAAAACATTTCCCTGTGTCTTGTGTTGTCTTTTCTTTTTCTTTTTGGTGAATTCTTTATGGAGAATCTGGTTTTGCTTTGAGAGTCGTTGACTTTGTCAATTTGACTTTTGTCCTTATGACATTGTCCTTCTGACTTTGTCCTTTTGACTTTGTTCTTCATCATTACAGAGATTTCCTACTTTGATTAAAGTTTTGCATTGAAGTTGAATTGATTATCCCACTGTTGTTCTATTTAAGACTTAAGTTATGTTTAAACTTAAAGATTGTTTCTCTCTTTCAGTCGGGGATGGTTCTGACAGGCAGGGTCAAAGTCAAAGCAGCCTATATGATCTGAACTTTGTGTTGATAGTGGCGTATAACTTCCACAATTGCAATTATATTTTATTTTTATTTTATTTATTTATTTTTTTTTTTTTCTTTTTAAATTTTTTTTTTTAATAGAAGATTTTACACTCCCATCAACACAATTGAAATCATTTAGGAGGCAGGTTTCAGTTTCCAACCCTGCCTTTCAGGGACAACCCTGGCTGAGAGAGATACTACACCCCAGCAGAAAGACCGAAATGTCAATGGAAATCTCCCCACTATTAGGAAAATAACTCTGGTCTCCAGCGTGCAACTGTGAAGTGCCTAACCACTACGCCATTGACGCTGGTTCACACTGACGGACTGGTCCAGTGTTGACCACGCACTGACCACTCTCCCCGTAGACCAGGCGCTGTGTGTCCAGTGTCCAGTGAGTGACCACACGAACGTCTGTGTGTGCTGTAGTGGTTGAGAACTCTGCCGTGGCACGCTGTAGACATGTGTTCAATTCTCACTTTAGATAGCCTACTTGTTTTATGGCCTGTGCCTGTCTGTCTGGGGGGATGATGTTGTATCCCACTCAGCCCCGACATGCACAGTTGAGGTAGCCTGCCTCCTAAATAACCCCCAGTTGTGTTGATGAAAGGGTAGATTTCTTACAGTTACAATAACTTGTTACACATAGCGTGCCTCCTGAATGATCGAAATTGTTCTAATGAGATCATGAGACATTAACAGTCAAGTGTCTGACATCTTTTTCTCCCTGTTGGCACACAGCTTCTCTCCCTCCCCCCCCTACCCTGCTCAAAACAGCCCCTAATCGTTTCTTCCCCTCTCTCCCCACAGAGAGCGTGCGAGCCACCACCACAGGAAAACCTCCGCCATCCCAGCGACAAGGTCAAGGTCAGGCTAGTGTCGGCCAGGAGGAGCAAGGTCACCGCAGCGCCCTCAGCCCCAGCCACAGCAGGTTAGTGGATTTTTTTAATTATATGGGGGGGGGGAGTGTTTTACGGGGCTTGCAACTGCATACGGTCATATGAGCACGCGGGAGACATTAAAAAATTTTCAGTTGATAGGTAATTTTGAATTTTGCCGGAGTGGCAGCCGAAGCCGACTCTTATTGATTTTGGACCACCAAGGGATCTTTTACTTGCGCAACTTAAACATGGGACCTTCAAGACTTTTCGCCCTTGTCCGAGAAGGCTAAGTATAGATCTTTCCTACCAGAAGATTAGGGGAGTGGCTGAGAGACAGCAGTAAGAAGGAGCCATGGAGAAGCAGTAGAAAGGCTGCAGAAAGAGTCGGGAGCCCAGAGGAGGGGGCAAAGGAGGAGAGGGGGTGGGGGCAGAAAGTGAAAACGAAAGCAGACAACAGAACATTGTTAGAGAGCAGGAAAGGAGGAGAAAGGAGACAAATTTAGAGAAGAAAATTTTCCGTCGTTATTTGAACCCGCGACCTTTTGTTTGAGAGGCGAACACCTTAACCTCTAGGCCACGAGAGCTCCCACAAATCTGTTAGTAGATCAAAGCTGCCCATTATCCGGACAAGTCTGGACATCCAGATTTTTTTTTCGTCTGGATTTCGTCCAACTTGTGCTTGTCATATTGTATGTTGGGAACTTTGTGGTAGGCAGCCTAGCATAAGCCATTATCATTTTAAGCATAACAGCCTATCATTCTATTGGGAATATATATCGAAGCGTACTATTGAGAATGTTTACTGTAATTTTTACTTACCATGTTTCCAGTGACTGATGCTTGTGTAATTTTCTCTAACCCCCTCCTCCCACCTACATGTGGGTGGTTGGTGGGTGCTCCGGTGTGGTTTGCTCCTTCTTTCCTATCAAACAACTATCGTCTTTATCTCTCCTCCTTTTTTATGTTTGTTACTCTCTTGTAACACCTCTAATCTTCCTCACTTATATGACCTTATTGTGCTGCAAGTGCTGTAAAACTCTTACTTACTAAAACTAAACTAAACCCACCTCCCTCCCTACTTCCCCAGCCCCCAGCTGTCGGCCACCTATGGACCAAATGGCAACTTTCTGGGTCGGAGAGTCCACAAGTACCCGGCCGCCCTCGGGGAGAGGAAACCTGGCGAGGCAGACAGCAGCAGCGAGGGTGGCCCCGGCACGCTGCACAACATGTCCGCCAACCTGCGTCTGGACGGCAGCCATGACAGCGGCTTCAGCTCGGCCAACAACATGTACAACGTTCACTCCCAGCGAACCTCGCACTACGAGAGCACGGACCAGCTGCGCTCACCCGCGACCTCCGAACCCGGGGTCCTCTCCCCTCTACAGTCGCAGCTGAACCAGGACTCGAACCAGCAGTACCGCGCGCCAGTGGGCGGCAAGTACGTCTCCACTGACGAACCCTTCCAGCGCCGCGCCGGCCCGCCCCCAACCGCGGGCCACCTACATTATGGCAGTCTTGACCGCAAGAGGCGGGATTATCGCCAGGAGGTGTACCGCGACGTGTCGCCCGTGCGCTACAAGACGCGCCAGTTTGGAGGTCCCGGCGGCGACCTTGGCAGCCATATTGAGGAGAGGCCGGGGTTTGAGGAGCAGCAGGCTCGAGGGTTCACCACAGAAGGAGTCAGAGGTTACGGGGAAGAGGTCAGCCCGGCGCATGTGATGGTGGAGGTCCCCGTGCTGCACGAGAGAGGTCAGTCTCTGCCTGCGACCTCCGTGACCTCGGCGGCCCGCCAGGCGTGGGTGGACGGGCGGGCACAGACCCCGGACCAGGACCGCCTGAGGCAGGGTGTGTCAGGTCTCGGCCCACCATCGCCCGCCGCGGGATTCTCTGCTGACCATGTGTACAGCCCGCGGATGTACGAGGGCTCGGGTCCGCACATCTACCAGGAAGTGGACGTGTCGCACGTACATCACCAGCCAGGTCCCCGGGACATCTCGGAGGGGGGAGGCCTATCAGGCGCACACCACACAGCCTCGCAGCCCGTCTTCCTCAGGACAGAGCGCAGTATGTCTCCCATGAGGAGCACCGGACACTTGTCTCACCGGCCCGCGGGTGGCCTTGAGCGAGCAGCCTCGTCTCTATCTCAACAACAACATCCTCACCACCAGTTCCAGCGGGCCACCTCCCCCGGCCACCCGCCGACCGCCCAGTCTACAAACTACTTCCCTGACAACGCGCCGCGCTCCATCCCCATCCAGCGCGTCGACTCAACATCCAGCGCACACACGCCCCCACCCTCCTCCCCCCTGTCCCAGTACCCTCCCTTGTCCCATGGTGGGGGAGGGGCGGGGTCACCTCTGTCGTCTGGCCCCTCGTCTCCCATGAGCCACGCCTCCAGCACCCTGGTCACGGTGACCCGGCTACAGCCGCACACGGAGATGAGCAAACCCTACGAGATCTCCGACTTCTACCGCTACAGCGAGAAACTGCGGCGCCAGCGAATCATCGACCAGTACCAGCGAGAGCTGATTGGGGCACACAATCTCTCCCGCTCCTCCTCGCCGCAATCGGTGGACAGCGAGAGCCAACACTCGTCTCACTCTGGCTCGGCTGCTTCCTCCTCGCAACACTCCTCTGTGCACCCCGCAATGACCCCCCAGCCCTCGTCCCCCTCCGCGATGGGTTTCGCGAGCCTCAAACCGGGCGCGTCCCCCTCCCCCTCCCCCTCCCCCTCCCCACGTGGCCCCATCCAACACTACGGCCGCTCCTCCTCTGCCCCCCTCACCTCCAGCCTCCCCCCACACCACCCCCACACCCACAGCCAGTCTTCCCTGCTCCACCACCCCCACCACCCCCACCACCACCACCCCCTCCACCACTACCAGCCTCACGTCTCCTCTGCCTCCTCCTCATCATCATCAACAGCAGCGGGTGGGGGCGTGTCTCACTTCGACCAATCTCCGAGCCCAGCGTACCCGGACGGACAAATGAGCTCTTCCTCTTCCTCCTACACGGTCAAGTCTTCGTCGTCGCAGGGTGCCAACGTCCACTACGCTGTCCAGTCGTCCTACAAGGTCCAGCAGGTCCACTCGTCAGCCAAACACTGCATGTACCAGCCGCCGCAGCCAATGACCTGCAAGCCCGTGGTGCGCAACCCACCCTCTAACCTCCCCGACAATCACAGGAGATGATGAATGACTCAGCTCCGTGCGGTGGACTTTTGTGGTGGCAGGAACAGAGGTGGGGTGGGGGGATATGTGTGTTCACAGGACCCACAGTCAGTGAATTTTACCGAAAACATGATCGGTGAATTTCTCAGAAAGTACAATCATTGAATTTCATGGAACACGCGGCAAACACAATGGGATGAATGCCAGAATAAGCATTATTCAGATCTATGTACAGACGAGAGATTTCAATCATCTCGAAACACTTTTCCTTAGGACTTTGTATATCTCTCTCTATGAACCAGTATGCTGAGCATTTGCCACAACTGGCTGCAGACGTGGGCAACAGCTTTACGTGTCATGGACGACAGCTGTACATGTCATGGGCCTGTTGTGTCACTTCAGGGAGATGTTGACGTAATGTGGACAGGTTTTGATCCGTTCCCTCGGACGTCAGCGAAAAAAACAGAATCTGGTCAAGTGATGCTGGTCGAAGACTTTGCAACTCACAAACTTTGTGGGCATTTCTTGAAATAAAACATAGTTTTTTCTTACGTTACATGAGGATGTGGGCGGGTAGGGTAAAAAAACTCGTTGATTTTTCCACCGAGATGCTGGATCCGGAAGTAGCGGATCCCGTCTTGACTCATTTTTATGTTTGCAAACATTTTGTTTGTTTCTTTTACACAATGTTCGTTTTATTACCGTGTTGTTGTTGTGTTGTTGTACTGTAGCTCTGAACGGTTCAGTTGACACTGGCGGGCTGAGTGAGGTACGTTTGCTCGGAGAACTCCTCCGAATTCGATCAGAGGAGATCTCCGGGGAACGTCGTTGTCCTTTCTTGTCCTTGGAGGACAGGACAGAATCATTTTTTAGTTTCTCTGGCCACTTTCATGATGATGGTCGGGTAGTTTGTCACGATTTTGTGTGGCTACTGTTTTGATGACAGTCAAGATTGACGTCGTAAAGATTTTATGTGGGATACTAAGATGACCTTACGTCCTTGACCTCATCAACTGGCCGTAGCCACACCCTCCCGTTCACTGTACCGACATTAATGTGTTCTCTGTGTGATCAAAGTCTGTATTCTTCTGTTTCTCTCGCCGCCATTTGGACTTTGTTCACTTTCACGAGGCAAACGTCTCCTCATGGTGGACACACAAGTTGTTCATTTCCTTCTCGCCACAGGCAGCAGATGTACACCACTCACAAAATCCTCCCCTTGTCTCATCTTTTCCTGACCTTGAACTTACCGCCTTTTTTTTTTTTTTTTTACTTCATCAATCCTCACTGTCGAGTTCACTTACCATAGTAGACTTCCTCCGACCGGCGTCTGTGGTGTAGCGGTTTTAGACGTTTCGCTGTCGCATGCAGGAAATGCGAGTCTGATTCCTGAGTTGGACAAAAAAAATTTGAGTATCTTGGTCTTTCTGCTGGGACTTTGTATCCCTCTCAGCCTGGGTTGGCTCTGACAGGCAGGGTCGGAAACCCTCTTAAATGATCTAATTTGTGTCAATGGGGGTGTAAAAACACCTAGTTTATTTTTTTAATAGCATCTATAGGCTTCCTTCAGGATCAGTGACTATGTCAATGACATGTTGGGATATCCTGCACAAAATGGCCAAAGTCCACTTGGGCCATGATTGAAAGATTTGGAACAACGTAGGCTATATCTAGTTTGTGAAAAACTTCAAAAGAATCTAATTACAAGATTCACGATTAGTATGCAATAGAGATGAAAATTAAGGAAATCAGTTTAAAACCGTTGGTTGTCAGTATGTTTTGTGACAAATTGAGTTGAGAGTAGAGAAGATTGACTAGGTCTAGATCTATTGTCCTAGAGATCTTAAGGGGGAAAAGTGAAAGTTCAAATACTGGAGATACCCCATTTTGTCAGAAAGTTCTTGTTCTCAATTCATGCTTTTCCCCTGGTTGTTACAAAGCTGGTTTACAATAACGGTAAAGTCTGCGCAAGTTTCTGATAACGGTAAAGTCTGCGCAAGTTTCTGATAACGGTAAAGTCTGCGCAAGTTTCTGATAACGGTAAAGTCTGCGCAAGTTTCTGATAACGGTAAAGTCTGCGCAAGTTTCTGATAACGGTAAAGTCTGTGGAAGTTTCTGATAACGGTAAAGTCTGCGGAAGTTTCTGGTAAGTGGACTCAGCCATGTTGTTGATTTCCCCACACATCCACGCGGGGCCGGGAGAGAATGTGTTGGTGGGCTCACAACTTCCCACATGCTATGCTTGTCACTTTTATTGTATTATTCCTTGACGTGTTCTTGTTGATTGTGGCCAAAACATTACCTACAGGTTTTTGTCTTGTGATGACTGAACATACATCTAGATAGGTTTGTGCTGGAGCGACTTGCGAACAGATTAGCCGTCATACATACTGGGTGGTACAGTGCAGCCTCTCTATACTATAACCACCTTCGATATAACGACATCCTCTGTTTAGCGACATAGTGCCCAGGTCCCGATTTTTTCCTTTATATATCATTCTAAATATTTTTGGTTGCCTCTCTATATAAGGACAACTTTCTATGACATTTTTTTTCCATAACATTTTTTCTGGTCCCAACGATGTCGTTATAGAGGCTGCACTGTATGTTTGTATGAAGCAACGGAGAGGCTGGACATCTAGAGGTAGTGTTGTTTTCAGCGGTCAACTAACTGACCAATCGTACCATGTACTACTCTGCCATAAGCTGACAAAACGCCTTTTTTCATTTTGGCGCCAACACCTTTTATTTGCTTAATCAAAAGCCTGATCAGTTACCTTACTACTACTTGTGTGAAAAAATCAAAGAAAAACTTACTAGTTTCTGAATAAATTAGAATTCAAATTTCGGAATAACTGTATTTTTAAAATGTTATGCTGACCACAAAAAAAAAACTTTTTCTCGAAACTGCTGTGAAGAAAAAAAAGCGTTTTGTCAACTTATGGCAGAGGTGACAAGTCAGAGTGGCAGGCCCCAGGTCAGACCCTCGACGTTTGTGCAATTTTCTCTTCCACTTCCACTTCCAGCTTCTTGCACTGCATTTCACAATTTCCCTTGTGCTGTCAAATATGAGGCATACTGACAAAATGAGTCACTGCTTGAAATCCACAAGTTGAGATTGAGGCCAAAAATCGACTCAGGTTCAAATTTGTAGACTTTCAGCTGATACTGATACCATTTTCTACAAGTTAACATTGTCTTTTATGATTTTACGTTTTACGCTAATAAATTGTACAAACTCAACCAGTATAATTGACTTCTCTGTGTCCATAGGGCTTGGCTAAAATCCGGGCAGTGACGTGAGTCATTTTGTCAGCATGCCTCACAAATGTTCCTAGTTGCTTCTGAAGGAATTAGAAATAATCTAGTGTATATTTTTGCTGGCTGGCAGGTGTGTTGTGTTGGGAAGAGAGTTGGAGCATCAGAGATGTGTGTCTGTCTGTCTGTCTGTCTGGCCGGCCGGCCAGCGTGGCTCATACACTCACAGCTGATGTAGGCATACCATATCGCTACCCTAGAATTACGAAGTTCTGTCTGTGGGTGGTTGGCGGGTGCTCAGGTGTGGTTGGCGGGTGCTCAGCGGGTGCTCAGGTGTGGTTGGCGGGTGCTCAGGTGGGGTTGGCGGGTGCTCAGGTGTGGTCTGCTCCTTCTTTCTTATCAAACATCTATCATCTTTGTCATTCCTTCTCCTTTGTGTTTGTTAATCTCTTGTGTAACACCTCTAATCTTCAGCACTTGTATGACCTTATTGTGTTGCAAGGGCTGTAAAACTTACTGAAACTAAAAGTTCTGTCTGCGAAGTACCTAGATCTAGATTTGAGAAACTTGACTGAGTTTCACATGTCAAGATTTTTCTAATGCAATTCTTTGAATATCTTGTAACGACTCCGAATAATCTTATGATTTTGATAGAACATTTAGTGTCTGGCCTCATGGTCTTGTGAACTCAAAACAGCCAAAAATGTCAGACGGAACTTTGTCATTCTAAAGGTGGCAATAATAATGGAATTTATGACACAAGGTTCATTTTAAAGGAAGACATTTTGAAGTATGTTCAGATCATTTTATTACCACTGCAGTACTTGTGGTTGAATGTGTTGCCACCTGGAAACAGGGAGGAAAAGTTGGCCCATATCATCTCCAGCTACAGGTTGATAAAGTAGGAGAGTAAACTTTAGACCAAAATGTGTTTCTGGAACAAAAACAACAGTCCCACCATTCTGAACCATAATTTAGGATTTTCATAATTTGACAATCTATCGATTGTATGAGGAATTATTTTGATGGTAGGGTATTCATCTTAAAAAATTGAAAAATGGCTTTCCAAAAGTGAGAAAAATAGAAGCCTGGGATGTTTCCCCAGCCTTGCATTATAAATAGCTGTGGACGTGAATAGCTCCGTCCAGAAAGCAAATCTCACGACTTTTGCATCCTTACCTAAGGCCTGTACCGCACCTAGCCAAATCTGTCTTTAGACCATTTAGTCAGTTGTCTCAGAATTTCATTTCCATGTGAGCCGTACCGCACTAGGACACTAGCATCTTAAGACTTTGATATTAACAATTCATTTCGAACATGGAATCAACAAAGATAGCTTGTGTATGTGCTCTGTTTTCAATCAGATGAAAGAAACCTTAAAAAAAAGATTTTTGATTCATCCATTTACCAGTACCAGTCAGCTATTACCGAAAGAGCAGTTTTATCGAGTAGGCCTATGTGAAGATCTTAGATGTTATCCACATAATTTTTTTGGTTATTATAGTTTGGTCCTTGCTTGATATGTAATTTGGCGTAAAAATAATCAGACGCATATGTTGTTGAAAAGAACTCAGCATCATAACATGACTGGATATGTGTGGGTGTATGGAACTAGGCGTGTCGGCAAATTTCAGGGCAGTTTTATCTTAGTACGGTAGACTACTCTATTCTCTTACTGGCTCAAACCAGTCTTTAGTCACACTTGTCGTACTCGGTTAGTGGCCGGGCACAACTTGTCTCTAAGTAGTGCGGTAGGGTTCGTA